CGAGTAAAGGTCCAAACGTTTTTCTGAAAACGAGTAACGGTCCAAACTGAATTAGAGGCTCAGCCTCTGGGCCTGATTCCGACCCTGGTCCTAGCTGTGTACCTGGCCACAAAGCGGACAACAGCACATTAGTAAAAACACATTAGTAAATAAATAAATAAGAAATCAACTTAAAGTTGAAGTCTTTCCGATGCAGGCCTAAGTGAAATGGCCGTAGGGCCTCCAGGTTGCGGTGACGCGACCTGGGGGCCCTTATCCAACCTCGGGTGCCGTGAGGGGCCCGTGTGGAGGCTCTCAGCATGTAACAAGCCCCCCTCCTTATGAAGATGAGCCGGGGCGCGAGCGAAGCTGCCGATCTGATGGCGGAACGTAGCGAGGAGGCCGGGGAGCTGAGGTGCCCAGCGTAGTCTTCTCCTTGCTTAAATAACGTGAGAGAACTGTGGGGGCGGTGGCCTGCAGTTCCGAACGCGTCAGCCAACGGTCAGCCTTGTGGCTGCAGTAGGAAAAGTGAAGTAGAAACTCCGTTTCCTTGTTGCCATGGCGCCGGTCGGTGATGATGTAGCCGGCCTCCTGAAATCCGTCCATGGAAGGAGGGTCTTGCGTACGTCGACCGGGAAACTCGTCGGATTCTGCCGAAACAAAAGGAGCGAGTTTGGAACAGTGGAACACCGTGTGGACGGGCAAGTGAGGTGGCACCGCGATGCGGAATGAAGGCCCCTCGGGATCATCACCAACTGCAGAGAGAATGCGCCAAGGCCCCATCCATTTGGGAAGGAGCTTGCGAGAGATGTCTTGTTCAAGGCTGAACTCCGCGGCGGAGACCCAAACCAGATCGCCGGCGCGGAAYGGGCAAGGAAGACGRTTGCGGTTGGYTTGGCGGCTCATCCGTATTTGCGTCTTTGACATCTGATCCCGTGCCTTGACAAGGAGCTCTTGCATGCGACGAAGGAACGTAAGATGGTCGTCGCTCTCGGCTGTGCGCAGCAAAATGGCGTCCAGCGGCGATGAGATGGGTGAACCATGCTCAAACTCGAATGGTGACATCCCAATAGCCGGATGGATCGATGAGTTGTAAGCCAACTCCACGTCTGGCAAGCGCTCGACCCAATCAACCTGGTCAGGACGGATGAGAGTGCGTAGGAGAACTTGAGCGGTCTGATGCGCCCTTTCCGTTTGACCGTCGGTTTGCGGGTGGCGAGCCGAACTCGGCTTCAACGATGAGCCCCATCGTTTGACGAGGGCGACCCAAAAGTCGGAGAGAAAGCGAGTGTCCCGGTCGCAAACGATCTCCTTGGGGTAGCCCTTGGAGCGGATCCAACCGGTGTATAGGACCTCGGCTAACTCTGGTGCCTTTGCGTGATAGCGGCAAGGCAAAAACATGGCGTACTTGGTGAGGCGGTCGACGACCGTGAAGATCCCATCAACGCCGGTCTTGTGCTTTGGGAAGGGGCCGGTGTTATCCATAGCGATTGCTTCCCGTCGCCCAAGGGGTACTGGTGATGGGTGTAGCTCGCCGAACGGACGATGGTTGCRTGACTTGCAACGCCGACAAACTTCGCATGACTCACAATAGCGGGTGGCGTCCTTGAGAAGGTCGGGCCAATAGAACCGYTGGCGAAGTCGGCCAAGTGTACGGTTGACACCAAAATGTCCGGAGGCGGGCGTATCATGAAACTCGCCAAGAARCCGTGTGCGCAAGTGTGAATCACTCGGCACACARAGAAGATCCTTACCTCGTGAATGCACAAGTAAGTAGCCCTCTTGGATCCGATAATGCGAAGGCACCGGATKCGGAGAGGAGCAATTTGCGTACTTGTCGCGAAAGTGGGGGTCGGCTTGRTAGCCGCGGATGAAACTCTCCCGCAAGTCGTCGTCAATCTCGAAGGTAGAGTAGACTGCGGTGCAAAGATCCGGTCGCCGTGAGAGGGCGTCCGCAAAACGGTTTGACTTTTCGGGAATGTGATCGGGGAAAAAGTCAAACTGGTCGATGAAAGTCATCCATCGGGCAATGGTACTGTTAATCGTGTCTTGCGACTTGTAGAATACCAACAGATTGTTATCCGTTACCCATCGGAATGCTTTCTGACCAAGGAGGAAATGTCGCCAACGCTTGAGGGCGTGGACGAAGGCAAGAAGCTCCTTCTTCCGTGCGTCGTCGATCGAATGCACGGGAGGTACTTTCTTGCTG